GGGACCTGGACAGGCTGGAGAGCTGGGCAAGGAGGAACTTGATGAAGTTCAACCAGAGCAAGTGTCGAGTGCTGCACCTGGGGAGGTCGAACCCCATGCACCATTACAGGCTGGGGGGTGACCTGCTAGATAGCAGCTCTGCTGAGAGGGACCTGGGAGTCCTGGTGGACAATAAGCTGACCATGAGCCAGCAATGTGCCCTTGTTGCCAAGAAGGCCAATGGTATCCTGGGGTGTATTAAGAGGAGTGTGGCCAGCAGGTCGAGGGAGGTTCTCCTCCCCCTCTACTCTGCCCTGGTGAGACCCCACCTGGAGTACTGTGTCCAGTTCTGGGCTCCCCAGTTCAAGAAAGACGAGGAACTCCTAGAAAGAGTCCAGAGGAGAGCTACTAGGATGATAAAGGGACTGGAGCATCTCCCCTACGAGGAAAGGCTGAGAGAGTTGGGCTTGTTCAGCCTGAAGAAGAGAAGACTGAGAGGGGATCTCATCAATGCATACAAATATCTTAAGGGCGGAAGTCAAGAGGACGGAAGCAGTCTGTTTGCAGTGGTGTCCAGCGACAGGACTAGGGGCAATGGATGCAAACTGAAACACGAGAGGTTTCAGTTGAATATGAGGAAGAACTTCTTCACTCTGAGGGTGGCAGAGCACTGGAACAGGCTGCCCAGGGAGGTTGTGGAGTCTCCTTCTCTGGAGATATTCAAAGCCCGCCTGGATGAAGTCCTGTGTAGCATGCTCTAGGTGAGCCTGCTTTAGCAGGGGGGTTGGACTAGATGATCTCCTGAGGCCCCTTCCAACCCTTACGATTCTGTGATTCTGTGATTCTGTAAATATTACGGTTTTGTCTAGCAATTATCAGGATGTTTATCACCTCTTTTAACAAATATCCTGACTACTTTAGTCAGTTACTACATCTCATTACATGAAGAACAGCTGTACATGCATGCATAGTTTAAGCAAAATGAGAATCTCTGAATTAAACTGTTGGACCTTTCTTATCCATTCTTACAATGTTTAGAAAAGCACAAAAATGCAAATGAGTATGATAAGAATCTACTTGGAAATTTGGATGGCCTACAAAAAGTTCAAGAAGTAGTCTATATTTCTACTAAACTTTTTTTTTTTTTTTTTTTTTTTTTTTTTAAGTGATCAAAGCTGAAAAAGTTTCTTTCAAGTTACAATAAACACAAAAGCAATCACCAGATATGTATGTCCAGAGAAAGGCCTGGACATAGAACTTCATCTGAAAAAATACTTTCACCAAAAGCAGTAACTAAAGAACTGCTATAATGGAAATTCACATGCAATTTTAACTACACTGTTTTCTATCAATAAAATCTTTTCACTTTGACTGATAACTGAATTGAAAAGAAAAATTCATCCCAAGTGTCCCTTGGTTTCAAGTTAAATCAAGGAGATCAAGAAAAAGGAATTAATATTAAAACGTCATTTAACATAATTACATTTAAGGTTACATAAATACAATTGTAAGTTATTGATTTTGGAAAACTAAAACAAAGTAGCAAGTATGTGAGACTGCATCATGATTCTGAACATTTAAAAGAAGAGAGAGAAACATTGTCGTGGTTTAACCCGGCTGGCAAAATTAGCTCTATCCCAGCCGAAACCAGGACAAACATTAACAGAAGTTAAAATAAAAGCTCTTGGCAATAAAGTTAAAATTTGTATAATCAGACACACACACACACAAAAGGAAAGACTTTTGAAACTGATGTCCATGGAAGGCCTACTAAAGAGAAAAGCAGCAACAGCACAGAGCTAACCAAACCTACTGCACAGTAAGGCCTGCCAAAAGGCTTAGACTTTGCCTCTTCCCAGGAGTTTTATCTGCATAACATAATAAAAAAAATTCACAAATCCTGCATAAACACTCCCACTGCACTTCCATATTGCTAAAATTATTCTCAAAAATAGCTTGATTTAGACTCTTAGCTGTATTATTCCTTCCAAACATCAGCTACTACTCCCCTTTGCCCTTAATGGAGAACTAGCAAACTACCTCCTCCTTCAGTTTGGAAGGACTCCTTAGCATCCTCCAACAGCTCAACATCTGTCAACAGGATGGTTTTACACAAGAATACTGCCAGCCTACTAAAAGTAGTCAGTGAACAATAAATATAAGTGATGTGGATTTAATTTCTTTTTTAAAACCATTTAAGAAGTCAGCCTGAAAATAATTCTACTTTAAGTTTGAGGAGAAGAATAAAGGAAACAGTGAAGAAGGTACCCAACACAACATTTAGAGCGGGAAACATAATTTTTAAAAAATAAAATGAAGAAATAGGAACTTGACTGAGAATATTTCACTGCATACCCTCAGGACCAAAAACGCTTTTCTGTCTTTGGCTAGTTTGTTCAAGCATCTATTCTCATAGCAAACACTGAAATGGAAAGAGAAAAAGTGATTCTGCAAGTAAAGTTTTTAAGGCATAACTTACTGATTCACAGGGTCTGTACTGCATTTAACTTCTAAGTCTTATTTTATCTCCTGAGCACCAGTACAAAGTAGAACTATGCCTTCATCTCAGCCTCTCTTCAGCTGAAACAAGACATGCAAGACACTAACAAAATGGTAAACTTACCCTCTCAAATGAAGCCCCCTAGAACTGTTTTCATCAGTCCCAACAAGAAAAATAAAACCAGAAAGAATAAATAACAGCTTGAGCGAGGGCATCTGCAAGAATGAAAAACTGGAGCAATCAGATTCTCCCAGACAGAGCATATAGGTATCAGTTCTCAGTATAGTTCTTTAAAACTAGTCTATCTCCATGAGCTGACATGATGGACACTAACCACAAGGACAAGAGACATAGTCCAAAGGAAACACAAACTCCTAAAAATATGGAAACTTCAGCCCTATGAAAATCCACGGACAACAAGGGAAGAGAGGCAGGAGCAAGCAGACACCTGTAAGAAGTGCCAATATATCACTCTTTTGCTGTCTGAAGTAGGAGCAATTCCATTTTAAAAGACTTATTTGCAGATGGTTCATTTGCTTGAGTTGTCACAAGTCACTGAAGAATTAGCTTGTAGAATTAGCATGCCTATGAAAAGAGAAGCACTGGGAAAATTAGTGTTTCAGTTACAGAGATTTCTGATGATCTCTCGAATGTGAGAAACAGGGTCCTAATTGCAATCAGAACGGTGTGTCTAGCCTACTGCAAAAGAGGTGTGAACCTTAGACATCAGCCAAAGAGCTAGATGTACCTGACAGGTATCCAATGGAAAGTATTCAAAGAGATTCAAGATAGTACACACAGGGAAATTAAATTAGAAACTAGAAATCAAACTATCTGTTTGATGGGTAAGTATCATCTTACAGATCGTATCCTGATATAAAGGCATGAGAAAACTGACTTGTTTAAAACTGGGGTTTCTTTACAAGGTTAGGAATCTCAACACCCTATTGTTGCTTTTAAAGCTCATCTTTTTCTAGAGTTTGTGTCTTTAAAGCTTTGTCTCATACCAGTAGCTTGTTACAGTTTTGATTTTTAAAACCTTGTTTGGAGTAGTTCACTGGACCTTCAGAAAACAAAGGCCTAGGGAGAGAAAGAAAATGTATTTACATTCAAGACAAGTCACTGTCAGGCACCTGACAGGAACTGCCACTAATTTCTTGTATTGCTAGATGCCAAAGATGAAGAGTGAACTATGTTTTCCTCAAAAGTCTCAGAAGATTACTCAGGTAAACCTTAATCTTAGCTTACCAGTATAAGCAGCTGTCTTACCCAGAAGAGATTCAGATGCTTAAAAGAGCTTGCATAAAAATTACATATGTAAATTGATGAAGTCATGTAGATGCTGTCTGTGTCTGGTGGAGCAATGAATGTTCTTTTTCCTGGGTTCTAAGATTTGATTGCTGAAGCTTACAGTTCATCATACACCTAGCAAATTTAAACAAACTCAGATGCCAGCAAATCAGTGGGAAATTAGTGGGAAAACAGTAACTTTGTGAGAGACATCTAACCATCCATTAGCACATAACCCTTGCTAAGCAATACAGTTATTAAATATCAAGAAATTCGGATTTGCTTAGACTACTTTAAGGAAAAGGATCTTGGAATTGCTGTTTATCTGAGGCCACCAGCCTTCTGTGGCCATCAGCCATAGAAGTTGCACCCGGATTCCAAGCTGAGTCTGAAGTTTTATTTGGGAAGAATACAGCTGCAAAAAAACCACTATGTAGAAAATCTTGTCTGTTTTGCTAGTAAAGGTTCAAACTGACTCTACTGAAACTTATATGCACTTCCCTTCACAGTGAGAAGCTGCATGCTCTACCAGTGAGAATGATCCATTACACACTCTGTGAGGAAAATAAAGTGTCAGGGATGAGTCTCACCTGTAACACCATACTAACAACTCCAAAAAAAATAAATGG